TCTCTCTCTCTCAAATAAATAAATAAATAAATAAAATTTAAAAAAAAAAAAGAAAAGTAGACCCATCATTTTATAAAGAGGAGATCACAAAATACAATTTTAGTAATGTATTTGGAGTAAATGTAATCATCAGTCATAAATATTTTTCTAATGATAAAGGGATCCATGAAAAATACATCACATGTTAGAGAATATCAGCCTGGGCTAGTGTCGAAATGGATGTCACGTGAGTCCTCATGCATGTCTATTCAGGGAGCTCTCTTCCATGAAACTAATCTGAATAAAATTTGGTGTGCAGAAGGCCCCTGAGATTACCTAGGATTTTATTCAGTGGATAGCAGGAGTCTTTTCTACATAAGTGACACATGAACTTCAGGTCAGGTGAGAATGTGACTATTAACAACAAAACTCTCACAATTCATTGGTACTAGCAGAGTAAAGCATTTAGAATTCTCCTTTGTGGGGAAGTTAAAGGAGAGGAAACGACAGACTCAAAGGAAAACAGCCTCACAGGTCTTGGGACTGATTTTGAGCTCTGCTTGTCAGGCGCGCCCCCTGCTGGTCTTGAACATCACAGCGAGGATGTTTGAGTCTGGGCTTTTACTGAGGTTCCCTCACTGTGCTGCTTGCACAGTAATACACGCCTGTGTCCTCCGCTCTTAGGGTGTTCATTTGCAGAGAGGCCATGCTTCTGAAATCATCTCTGGAAGCAGTGAACTTCCTTTCACAGATGAAGCATATTCAGTTGCATAATCACTATCTTTGTTTCTAACACCAACAAAACACCCCAGTCCATTTCCTGGAGCCTGGAGGACCCAGTCCATCCAGTAGGCCCTGAATGTGAATCCAGAGGCCACACTGGAAAGTCTCAGGAACTCTTCAGGCTGCACTAGGCCTCCACCAGACTCCATCAGCTGTGCCTCAGCCTGGACACCTGCAAATACAGAGACACCTTGCTCAGGAATCTGGCACACAGACCCGGTTTATCCCACTGATGTCCACTCACACATTCAGTATCTCTTGCTATCCCTAAATCACCTTTGAAAACAGCAACAAGGAAAACCCAGATCAGCCCAAGCTCCATGTGTTCAGCTCTGATCACCAATTAGCGACAGCTGGTCACCTAGGGCTGTGCTCCTCTGCGGAGCTGCAGCCAGGGCTGGGCCACTTTTCTTCAGCAGAGGGAGGCCCTATTTGCATGGCCTCTTGCTATACAGATGGTTGTGTGGGCTCAAGTTCAACAAGCTCATTACTTATAAAAGATGTGAATTCACTTCCCAAGTATAATATTATTAATAGTATTTAATTAAAATAATGATGACACTTTAAAGGGGAAATATATAAATTTATTTTGAAGTGCTGCAGGGCTGTTCCAGATAGTATTCTGTTGGATGGAAACTGTGATTTGGAGGAATAACTTTGATTTGTTTCCTGGAGATTTTAAAGCAACTTCTGATACGTACTGCCTGGATTCCCTTCTTGTGTACAGTAAAGTATGAGAAGACAACAAATAAAAATGGAAACAATGTGAAGTTGTAGAAATTCCTTCTTTTCTTGAAATATTGTGGAACATATACATCCTGGGTTGTTCTTGAATAAACACTGAGTACAGGAATAAAGCAAGTGGCTCCAGCATTCAAGAATCCATCTCAACATAAGACAAGGATAGATTGTAACTTATCCAACAAACATCCATTGAAGACAGCATTATTTCATGGCTTGTGATTCTTGAAAATGTTACAAATATTTCAGGAGTTTTATAGGCTGAAGCAATCACAGCACCTTATAAAGGAGAGACAAACAGGTCAAATGCATGGGAGGATGAGAGCTCACACATGGGGCAAAAGATTCACTCCTGCTCCAGGGCCTCAGGAGACCTGATAAGCAAGGGCCTTCTCTCAGGTAACCTGAACTTCACACCACTGAGTTATGGAGACCTCATTTTCTGCCAAAAAATTCCATACAATTGTTCCTGCTGAGAACAGATGTCTTTGATAACTGGAACCACTTTCTTGGTATCATTTCATGAAAGAATTAGGAATTTTGTTAAACAAGAAAGTGAAAAAGCTATACGAAGAAAACTAAAGTACTTTGAAATGCAGTGAA